TAAAAGATTTYGTTTATAAAACTTATACTTTATTGACAATCATTAAACAGGTACTACCATATTTTTAACACAGTAAACATTCACATAAGTTAAAACTCTTATTTATCTGAAATGGAACCTTGAGAAGGTCTTGAAGTTTCAGATTTATTCAAGGAGTAAACGCGTCCCGTGATCGATTGTCGCTTAGGTGGCGGTTCGATGGCTGGTTGTACATCCATGGCGCGTATTGCAGGCGGTCGTGAAGTTTGCTCAGGTGGATGTGTCACCGAACATGAAGTCGCGTAGTGTCCCTTTTCCCTACATGTAAGACAAGTAATGTAGTCAGGCACAGGCCTAGACTGTCCGCTGTTGGGGCATGTTCGAGAGTAATGGCCCCGACGGCCACATTTATAACACTCGGGCAAGGATTCTATTGTAGGAGTTCCTCGACCCGTCTGGTTTCCTCTTCCTCTTCCTTGGCTATTTGGTTGGTTTGATCCCTGTCATCGGCTTGAGGTCTGTCCCTGATCTACCTGGTTCCTTGACCCTGGGCCTTGAACCCGCGGCTGAGATGACTGTCTGGCTTAGAATGCCCGTTCAATCTCAATTCCCTCCTCCACGTTCACAGCTCTCTCAACTAACTCAAARAGACTCTGATAGTCTATAACTAATAATCGACTCATCATCTCTGGTCTGAGCCCCCTAAGAAATTTTCAATCACCGATGCCTCTCCATCTGGACCGTAGTGTGCATACCGCCTTAGCCGAGTAAACTCCGCTTCATAATCTCGTACACTGCGGTCTCCTTGAATTAACTCTTAGAATTACTTTTCTAATCGATCCTTCGCCTGTGGTGGAAAATACTTCCTTTCGAACTCTCTTCGAAAATCAATCCAAGTTGGGTCCACTACTCCATAATGGTTCCTAATGCTACTCCACCAGTTTGCAGCGTCCTTCATCAACTAGTATACAGCAACATCCCTCTTAAAACTATTCGGACAACGTGTTGCGTCAAAGTTCATTTCTATGTGTCACAACCATGCATCCGCCTCAAAAGGATCAGTACCTCCAAAGAACCGTCGTGTGCCCAGGTTCTTCATCATCATCACCATTTTAAGGAAATCTGGTGGTGATGGTTGTGGATCCTGCTGTTGTGCTCTCATTGTCGCTTCTTGATCCCCTAGTCGGCCAACCAACTCGTGGACCAACTCCATCAAATGGTCCTTGGTGCTCCTCGGCTCAGGCCGAGTCCCACTTGGACCTGCTCTAGGAAGATCAGGAAAATCTCGATAAACTCTATGACGATCCTCTGGTTCTTCCGGCACCTCGACATGTCCATGGTAAGTAACTGATGGGCTTCCCGAGGATAAAGATCCATCGTACCCCGATCTACTAGATCCCCCATAGCTAGTATCATGTCGCCTATAAACCTCTATAGGCCATGACTCAGTCGACTCCGATGACTCGATAGATAACCATCCAGCGTGTCGTGACCCCTTAGGTTCGGGATCACTAATATCTCTTAGTCCTAACCCTGTCGTCAAATGAGGAGAGTTCTCTGCTGTATACTCTGGAAATTGCTCCTCGGATGACTCCTCTGAAGGATCGGATTCTACGGAACTGTATGAGTCATTATCATATGGTGGCGGAGGATGACCGTAGTAACACTCAGGATGTCGATAATCGGGCTGTCCATGCCCAGAAGGTGGTTCCCATGGACGTCCTCCCCTCATATGCCTCGGTGGCCCTGCGTGAATACGCTGGTTTCGCGGATGAAGCCGCGTGGTGGCGATACCATCTCCGCCAAAGAATCATGTAAGTCCTAATCCAATTTTTTTTTTGAAACAAAGGAACGTAT